GAATTCTTCACCTTCTCCCGTGGTTGGTGCATACATGCAAATGATGGCTGTATTGATCGGATCGCCTTGAAGGCACAGAGATCTAATCCAATCTCAGGCCGCAATGCTCTTCAAGAAAGATCTTGAAAAATACTTGTGACACATCATTCCTCTTGATCGTGTTACCCTGGCAGGATAAATTGTACAGTTTTCTGAGTCAGAATGGCCAATACCAGCCCGTGTCAGCCCGAGAATGCCGAGGACATCGATCTCCAGGCGGTCCACTGCACTTCTGATGACTTCCAGTTGTCCTAGGCTCGTACTCCGCACATCCCAAGCTTTGGTCCTCAGCAGAGTTTTGCAGCTGTTTCTCCTTGCCTTGCGTCCAGCCCCCTCAGCAGATGCAGACCCTGAAGGCTCCCCTCCCCCAGGCTTCACCCCACTCACGTCACGCGCCGACCCCCTCCGAGACCTGAGCTCCTCCTCAGTCACGTCGTGAGAGTCCCCGGCGCCATGGCCCACGCGTGGTCCTGCTTCCAGTCTCGCGGACGCTGGTGTCAGACCGTGTGTTCAGGCTGCGCACCAGGTTTTCAGCGGCTGCTTCCTCTGAAGTGGGGAGTCGAGTCCCTCTTCCTTGTCTGTTCTGAGTCTGGAAGCTCTGCTGACACCTGTTCACGTTGGGTGGCCCTGCGGCATGTGAAGTCACAGTGGCTCAGCGTCCAGCCTCACAGCCGCACGCAGGACACCGCAGTATGGCCCACGGACAGACCCAGGGTGACCCCTAGGACTAGCTCCCTGAATGTGACGTCCAGACTCCTAAACTGTCAGAGAACAAGCTTCCATCTGTTACAAACCCCTTGCCATGTTTTGGCTATAGTGGCTCCGAGAGCCCAGACAGGCACCTGCTTGCACTTGGGGTCATTGCAGGTTCTGTCAGCCAGGCTCCCATGAGGTCACCTGGGGCAGATGGGCTCTCCTACACGGGGTCACCTGTGGCAGGTGGGCTCTCTTACACAAGGTTACCTGGGGCAGGTGGGTTCTCATACACAGGGTCACCTGGGGCAGGTGGGCTCTCTTACACAAGGTCACCTAGGGCAGGTGGGTTCTCCTACACAAGGTCACCTGGGGCAGGTGGGTTCTCCTACAAGAGGTCACCTGGGGCAGGTGGGTTCTCATACACCGGATCACTTGTGGCAGGTGGGCTCTCTTACACAAGGTTACCTGGGGCAGGTGGGTTCTCATACATGGGGTCACCTGGGGCAGGTGGGCTCTCTTACACAAGGTCACCTAGGGCAGGTGGGTTCTCCTACACAAGGTCACCTGGGGCAGGTGGGCTCTCCAACTTGAGGTAACCTGGGGCAGGTAGGTTCTCCTACACGAGGTCACCTGGGGCAGTTGGGTTCTCCTATACGGGGTCACCTGGGGCAGGTGGGCTCTCCTACGCGGGGTCACCTGGGGCAGGTGGGTTCTCCTACACAGGATCACCTAGAGCAGGTGGGTTTTCCTATACGAGGTCACCTGGGGCAGGTGGGTTCTCCTACACAGGTCACCTGGGGCAGGTGAGCTCCCATCCCCTCTGAGTGCCATCCTTGTAAAAGAGGAAACGAGACACGGAGACATGGGGACAGAGGGAGGATGCCGTGTGATGCTGTATCCAGTACCCAGGAGCCAGAGAGAGGGGAAGGATCCTCTCCAGAGCCTCAGGAGGAACTCCCCCCAACCCGGCCACCACCCCAATTGGGAGCCCCACTCAGGGCTGTGAGAATACAGCGTGGGGCCAGACACCCCCCTTGTGGTGCGTGTTACCACAGGAGCCTCGGACAGTGTGTGCTTATTGGACACACAGAACCCTGGTCTGTGTGGGGTTTGGAGTCTGAGGCTGGCACCACGGAAAGCTCCCAATCTGCGGACCTGCCCAGCAGGCCTGAGCATGTCCTCTCTGCGTGCATGTCCCCGGCACTAGAGCTGGCCAGGCAGGGACCCAGCTGGCCACAGGGCCTGGCTCAGTGACCCCTGAGGTCATGTCCCCGATGTGAGTCCCCATGTGCCCATGGGCTAGCAGTACAATGGACTGGTCAGAACACAGCATCACTCCCCACCCTCCCGGGACCCAGGCTCCTCTCAGCTGACGCTGCTGCCACACAGGTGCGGGAGAATCACTTCCAGGGGCAAGCGGCCCACCTTGCCTTCCATGCCCCCAAGCCCCGTACCCAAGCTGGGGGTCATCCTCACACCCCTGGGGGGCTGCACAGCCCTGCCTCTGGGGCTCTGGCCGGGCCCCAAGCGGACACACACTCTTTTAAACAGAACAGTTCTCTGTCCAGTGAAGCTCGGCCAGCACGGAGCCCTCACACCACGCTGACTCAGAGCCCGCACCCCCCCCCCAAGGGAATCTGCTTCTCGGACCCCCGTTCTCTGCCAACCACAACCCACAGCCTCCCACAAGGCCGACGGCAGCCAGTGAAGGCCACCCGCTGTCCTGGAGACAGGTGTGGGGAGGCCTGCTGTCCTGCATCCTTCTCACAGGAGCAGGGCAGCGGGGGCCTGGGCACAGTGACTACTCAGATCAGGCAGCGGGTGAGGGCGACAGACACCCTGAGGCAGCTGCCGTCACCAAGTCCCTGGCCACTGGCGTGACAGCCAGGACTTCCCTTAACCACAGTACGGCAAAGGTCGGGGCAGAATCTCAGTGCCAAGGTTATGACTCATCATAGCAGCAGACAGCCTCATCTTTCTCCCAAGGAGCGGCTGGTGGATTCAAACAGCTGACTGTGGTTAGCAGCCCAATGAGAAACCACTGCACAGCAGGACTCCAGGAGCCCCTAAAAGCCGGACAACAGACCAGGCACGACCAGAAGCCTGCAGTGGTGCAGTGAGGGCCGAGGTTCTCAGGAACACCCTTCCCCTGGCCGGGGGGTGGGGGGTGGGGGTGGCTGTGGGAGAGGACAAGAAGCTGCAGGCGTTGAGATGGATGCAGGGGCATGAGGGGGAGGAGGAGCCTCCAGGGAGACCCCACCCAGATGCACTTTCTCTAGTGTCCCGTGGAGAACTGGGCAGTGACACCTCTGTGGCCATCAGACCCAAGAGGGGGTCTGTCTGCACCTTACTGAGGGTTCCACCCCATGTCTGCACCCAGAGCTGGTCCTCAGAACGGGTCTGCTGGCTGGATTGATGAAGAGATTACTGTGAACAGAAGGACAGATGGGTGAGTAGGTGGGTGGGTGAATGGATGGATGGATGATGGACAGATGACCATAAGAATGTCATGATGAATGAGTAGGAGATGGATGTATTGTTGGGTGGGTGGATGGGTGAGGGGACAGATGGATGATGGATGGATGGATGGATAGATGGATGGACAAGCAGATGGATGGATGGTTAGGTAGGTGGATGGACAGACAGATGGATGGTTAGGTAGGAGGCTGTATGGCTGGACAGATGGTTAGGTAGGTGGATGGATTGATGGATGGATAGTTAGGTAAGTGGAAGGATGGACGGATGGATGGTTAGGTAGGAGGATGGATGGACAGATGGATGATTAGGTAGGGGGATGGATGGATGGATGGATGGATGGATGGATGGATGGATGGATGGATGG